TCAATGGCATGTGATGCATGGGGCAGATAAGTATGCCTCTGTCCTTGTAATGGTTCGTGCCGTCCTGATCTCAAGAGAGGCCATTTCGATTGCACATCACATACCCGGCAGGATTATGCAAGTTAGATTGCAATTGTATCGTCCCCACGACATATACGTTGTGTATCAATATGCATGGCATTCAGGTGGGAATATTTCGCAATTGTCGAACAAATGCAAACGAATTTGGACATACCTTCGAGATTGCATCAACCATACACCTGCATATAATCTTCTTTTGTTAGGAGGTGACTATAACACACCACTTGATTTTGATGGTCAGCATGTTTTCACACAGGATATCAAGTATGCCAAAGTCGCCCAGACGGATTGAGCCCTGTTCCAAATACTTGTTCAGGACCACAACTTGATTATTATTCATACACCGTTTTTTTCATCCTATCTTTGTGCACGGTGACCATAATGCCCGGACCGGTTTTGTGTTCATGCGAAAGGAGCAGATCTCCTGGCGCACCCTGCAACCGAAGCATCATCCCGACTTTGATTTTTTGTTTGGCAATCAAGGCCCGAGACATTATCCTCTGAATTTGCACTTGTCTAAATGGTTCCCAACTCCCAATTCCAAACACCAAGAGTGTATTAACCGATTCCGCCTTCGTCAGGCCTGGACCCAGAACACACCGAATGGGCCCATTTCTTGACTCAGGCACGTCAGGTCATCACAGTACAAGGACCTTCGTTGTCATCGATTGATCGTAATCTGACCTTGGAAAGAAATCTTGTTCAGATATGTAAGAATTGTTTTCCGTCGGTCCGACGGCAGGCGCCGCTGGATCCTGCTTTTCGATCTCTCACTGCTTTGCATTGCATGATTGTAGTATGAAATCCGTATTTCAGGATTAGTTTAATTTGACCAGATACCATACTCTGCACAAACAAATCAGGCAATACAGCAGGACCAATAAACGGACCAGACTTAAAGCCTTTCTCCGGGAAGGTGCTGATTTGTCCACGCGACACCAGTCATTCGACTTCTTTCGAAGAATCCGCACGCTCTGCCCCAAGCAACGGCTTCAATGCATTCACATATTTGATAGTCACGGACAACCGCTTAGCCCTCAACAGGAACTTGATGAATTTGTTCAATATTTTGGGAATCAATTTAATGATCCTGATTTTCAGCAACCGGACCTGCCACCTCTTCAGGTCCTGCCATTCGATGAAGCGGCTGTGTATGAGGCCTTGCGTCGCATGCCGGCCGCCAAAGTTGTGGCGCCACCGAGTCTCCCAGCCATAGTGTGGAAAGTATTGGCTCCTGAGTTGGCTAGTTCGACATATCACGCCTTGGCTTATTGGTGGAGTGTCAACCCCCCCAAGCTCCAGATGACTGGACGGCTGGATGGCTGCACCTCATCCCCAAACCGGGGAAACCAAGCACGAAGCCACAGGCTCTTCGACCAATCTGCCTTCAACATCCTATCTGCAAAGTTGCTTCGAGTTTTGTCACCACTCAATTGTTGCAATGTATGATCGATAAATTTCGTCGCTTACCGTTATATGCCTATCTTCCTAATAGGAGTATTGTTGGTTGTTTGCTTCGAGTTTCGTATCATTGCAGACAGGTCCGTGACAGCTGTCAATTGCACAGTAAGGATAATTCAGCTGATGGCATGTATGGAGGCCTCCAGGTTTCCCTCGACATGAACAAAGCCTTCGATTCAGTTAGCCGGAACACTGTGAGTCTTGCAATCAGATGGTTGCAATTCCCCCAGGACCTTCAGATCATGATCCATACATTGTTATCCCCTCACAAATATTATATCCCCCTCGAAAAGTTAGTTAGTGAGATTTTAGCCACAAGAGGGATTCGTCAGGGATCAAAAAATGGTCCAATCCTCTGGACGCTCTGCATGCACTTGGTACTATCAGATTTGGCGGCTCGATACTCGTGCACCTGGCTTCACGATCATGTCATCATTTATGCCGATGACGTGCATTTGAGATGGAGCACGCAACGGATGTCGGATGGCCTCATAGACCTGTCAGACCTTGATCACATCCTTCGCGTCTTTCGGCTGTATGGTTTTACCATCAATCTGGATAAGAGTGTAGTCTTGTTCAGGGCTGTTGGTAAAGGGGCCAGCAAATTCACCAAATGGTGGGTCATCCGCACCAAAGCCGGTCCTTTCCTGACCATGCCAGACTCTTCGATTCGATTGCCGATGGTTTCCGAAAACGGCATACCTCGGTGTGATAATCGGATACAGAGCATGGCAGATAGACATAGTGATTCGACGTCTTCAGGCAGCCCAAATGTAATTCTCCATTTTGAGGAAGTGGCTCACAGCCCAATGTGTTCCGCAGAGCATCCGTTTTTGATTGTACCAGCAATGCATTGTGCCCACAATCATGCACGGCATCCATGAAATGGATATCACGCAGAAAGGTTTTCATAAGATCATTAGTACAATCAACGTGCACTTCCGTCGTATGATCAAAGCACCTGTTCATTTGACATATGAACCCACTCAGGACATATTTCATCGATTGAATCAACCGATGATGGGACTCTTCCTTTTTGCTATTCGAAATGACAAAGGTTTCGGATGATTGGTCAGTCTTGTGTGCAGGAGAGGTCAGATCATTGAGATCAACTAAATACAAACCCCTTTCATTAATGGTCAATGGAATGGTCTTCTTCAATATGGGGTTGGTGACAGTGTGGTTAGTTATATCAACCACGGCCTCAATTGCACGAAGCAGCGTGTTCGATAGCAAGAACGGCGTTTGTCCAGGTACTATTGCTATTTTCAGCAACAACGGTCCTATAGGAACGATAATGGCATATTGGCTTTCCAAGGTGCCATGGTTGTCAAACCTAAAGGTGACCTTGCATGGACATCGCTGCACCTGTTCACGAACTACTGGTTTCAGGTTCAGAAGCAGCTCTTTGACAAAATGGCTGCCGATCACGGTTTTTGTGGCACCCGTATCTAGGATGCTTTTGGTTTCATAGGTCGAAAAGGTTGAGGCATAGGCGGTGGCTTCAGGCTCACTAGTGCTTACGAATGCAACCAAAGGCTCAAAATGCAAGCTAGTCCTTATTTCAACACAATTTTCCAAAGTCTTGGGGCGCTCTAATCCAATAACTTCCCCTGTCCCCACAGAAGTTTCCGGCAGGTTGAGGAATTCCAGCGGCAAGGCATCCATTTGTTCTTCTGCGATCACTAAGGTCGGTGCGGCTGCTGAGGATGGAGCGGCAGAGTGTTCGTTCGGGATATTCTGCTTTCCAGTGCCCCTTTTTCCTACAGAGCCTGCAGCTACTCTCCATGATGCGCTGTTGTAGCGATTTGCGATTTCCTGCATCCTTGTAATCACCACCATAGGATTTGGAATTTCCTTTTTCCCAGCCTTTGATTTTTCCTTTTGGTTTTAAGTTGTTCGGCCAAAACCTTCTGTTCTTGAAGCATTCCGAAAGACGATGTCGTGCCTCAAGATATGTAGAATGGGCCAGCGCCAGGTCTGGATCATTCTAGAGGGCTTCCACTGCTGAGGATTCGTTTTCGGCCACAAGTGCTGTATCTTCATTATCATCTTAAAACATCTACTCAATAAAGTCCTCCGCCGTAAACTCCTCCATGGTATATACTAAATCGTCGGCAACTGAGACCGGTGCATCATCAAGGACATTCAGGGCTGTCGCATCATATGTTTTCCCTTTTGTGCGCTTCTGGCCCAAGAGGTCATGAAAGAATCCAATCCCAATCATCCTAATAGCTTGAAATACTCGGGACATTGTAAGTGTCCCTCCGTTATGCATATCGATTTCCACTAATATCCTCTTCTTATCCTCATTGCTTAATAAAGAGTCCCGCAAACACGTATACGCTTGCAATTGTAATAAATCCATATACTTAGACAGCAATTCCGACCAAAACACATCCGCGCGTGCGAGGTAGGAGTCATTCCTTTCATCACCTCATTAAACACAACGAAAAAAGCAACGCTCGACGTTCTCATGTTTTTGCTCCAGAGTGATTTTCCCCCAATGCCCCCCGAATAAAGCAATCAATTTTTTCACCTCATTAGATCCCAGGAGTTCCGCCCCATGGAAATTCAGCTTCTAAAAAGCAATTCCAATAGTAGCCAAAATTATTCTAGTAATAAATTCCTAATTTTTGCCAAATAATCACATTTCAACAAACAACTCAATTTTATTTATATAAGACCAACGATGTGGGCATCAAACCTATTCCCTCAATCACTAAATTCGCTACAATCTCTATCGCCATATAGATCCCAAAAGTCGTTCGAACCGCCCAACAAACTAGGCAATTCCATTACCAATGCAAAATTAATTTCTAACTCACAACCCCCAATTCAAAAGAAAATCCTTCCCCTCCAAAAAGACCCCATTTTTCCACTCGGGCGCGCCGCCCCCTTTTCCAGCCTCACCGCCTCTAATCCTCATTATCGATCGAATAAAATGCAGCGTCCTCGCTCCTAACACGGTAACGTGTCTTTGTTCAAATTTTCATTAACCTCACCCTATTCTTCCTAACGTCCTCGCATCAAAACGATTAACGAACTAAAAAAATCATTTAAAATACATATATTTGCACCACTAATCATATAAAAATCGTATAATATATATATATATTTAAAATTAAATAAATAAATAAATAAATATATAAAAATAAAAATAAAATCCTCAAATTAAAAAAAAAAAATCAACAATATTAATTATTTTTAAAAAATTAATTTATTCAATATTTATATTTATCGTATCGAATTTGCCATAAAATACATATAAAACCCGAAGATTTAATAATAACACAAAATACAAATATAAATAATAACAATAATATCTATAATAATAATAACCATATTAATAACAATATAATATGACAATATATATATATATATGTTCAATAGACATATATATATTTCATCTTTTGCATTTGGAAAAAAAAATTCTATATTGTTAAAGAATATGCCAATCAAATGATCTTCAGCTTGGTCAGGATGAGGTACGAGCCGAAGGCAAAGGCCGTGAGGAAAGTGGTAAGGCCAAAGTACCCGATGATCATGAAAGGGGTGAATTCACCTTCCAAGTACATGCCCTTTAATCTCCAAGTCACACACTGCATACAAGGATTAAATTTTAAGTTGAAGCTTCAAGTGAGGCCAGCATCCTTTGTATGGGAGACCAACTTTACTACCGTGACAAAAAATTGGACTCCTGCAATCCATCAGGGCTGGTCGCCGACTTGGATCCTGCCTGTCATGTTGTAGTTCAGGTACTCATCCGCAGCACCGGCTGGCAGAGCAGTGGAGGCGGCCAGGACTGCTGCTGCAGAAGCGCGGAGGGCCGGCGCTGCGTTTGGCTGGGCTGGCGGCACGAAGGCCCTGATTGCTACGCAGGCTGAGAGCGCCAACCTGAGTCGAACCAGAACAAATCAAGCTATCTGAAGCTGCCTTATTAAACCACGCTTGAAAGGCTTGAAAGGCCCCGAATTCAGCATTCAAGGCCATCCCAACTTTTCACTTTGCAAAATCCTTGGCCAGGGCAAGAATCATGGTTTGATATCTACTAGCATTTGCATGTGACAAGTACATTCCGCTTACACAATGAAAGGCCATTGCTAGTCTTTTTGACTCTTGTGGGCTGGATGTCCATCCCCATTGTCCCAACACAACCACAAATCTTGAAGGGAATTGGTAGCAATAACAAAAGGCGCTTCTGGCTTATCAGGCTTATCAGCCTTCAAAAACACTGCTTTCCCTGTTGAAGACATGCAGCAGCAGCGCCGACAGCAGGTTGGAGCGTGCTCGAGTGAGGCTCATTGCAATTGCCCTTCAGCTCTTCAGCTCTTTGTCTACTTCCCTCTTTGGGCTTGGAGCCAATGCGCGTGCGGTTTTAGACATGACTGCCCCTTACTGAGAACTCGAGCAACTAGAACACCGTTAAGCCATTAAGGATTCCGGTCGCCTGCACTGGCCCTTCCTATCAGCAACAAGCACGTTCAGGATGCTTCTTCAAAACAAGAACGATTTCTTGGGATGTTCCCCACTTCTTTTAAGGTCCGCCAGCTGCTTGTCCTTATATTGAAAGCTTTCTCCCGAGTGAGCCTTTGCAGATTTGACTAGTACTACACTGCACCTGTTGCAATATGCTCGGTGCTTGGCAGCCTCTCTTGACATTTTATATCCTGGCGAGATTGGGAAAAATCTGGGTGATTTGGCGGCTGGCTCAGATGATCTTCAGCTTGGTCAGGATGAGGTACGAGCCGAAGGCAAAGGCCGTGAGGAAAGTGGTAAGGCCAAAGTACCCGATGATCATGAAAGGGGTGAATTCACCTTCCAAGTACATGCTCTTTGATCTCCAAGTCACACACTGCGCAAAAGGACTAAATTTTAAGTTGAAACTTCAAGTGAGGCCAGCATCCGTTGTATGGGAAACCAAATTTACTACCGTGACAAAAAATTGGACTCCTGCAACCCATCAGGGCTGGTCGCCGACTTGGATCCTGCCTGTCATGTTGTAGTTCAGGTACTCATCCGCAGCACCGGCTGGCAGAGCAGTGGAGGCGGCCAGGACTGCTGCTGCAGAAGCGCGGAGGGCCGGCGCTGCGTTTGGCTGGGCTGGCGGCACGAAGGCCCTGATTGCTACGCAGGCTGAGAGCGCCAACCTGGGTCGAACTAGGACAAATCAATTTCTTTCAGTTGCTCCCAGATGGCAGTCAAGCGCCAAGCGCTAAAATGGAGGTCCCAAATGCATCTCTTGCCAAGTCACAGGAAAGTTGCCATCAGGCTCGAGCGGGTGCGAACTGCCATGGTTTTATTGGGCAAAATCCTCTTTGATCTCAGGGCCTTGACAAGCCTTTGCCAATGAGCCGAAACTACAGAAAATACTGTATATGAAAATACCCTGGACTCGACCAAAAAGGCTGTGCAAAACCTTGCAGCAAGCTCCTTCACCAAGAAAAGGGCATTATCGTGTCCAAAGTTTCAAGCTGCTTCAAGCCTGCGCGCCATTCATTCCACAAACCTCTCTCTTTCTGGTTTTCCTGCGCCATCCTTCAACACCTATTTTCTCGTGCCACTCGCACTGTGCGGAACCCGCGAAGGGCAGAGGGTGTGGCCGTGGGCCGAAAGAACCGTTCTTGTATTTGAAACTGCATGGATGTCCATGCACTCAGCCAACCCTTGCTCCGAACAGGGCTTTTTTATCCCCTTGTGTGTTCCCATAGCTACTTGTCCGCCCCATTTATAGCTATAAATCGGTGGGTGCATGTTTGCCTGGGGTAGCTTAGCACTATAAAATTCAAATGCCTGACTTACTATCAGACAGCAACATCACTATAGAATCAACTCTACTAAGGACCAGGAGGTAGACAAGGATATTGAACAGGTGCCCAAAAACACAGTATAAAATAGGGTGCACAAGCAGAACAATCTGATGTCCTCCAATATTTGTTTTTTATAGAAATTAGTCCGTGGTCAATAGAACAAAATGAAATCAAAAAACAAAAATTTTATATGAATTTCTTTGTTCTTTAATCATTGTTGTATATTTTCTCCATCAATTTGTACTATGATTTCAGAGACATTGATGAAGATGAGTTTGTTTGCTATAAAATCATTTCACTATAAAGTTACAGTCTTTCTGGCACGCAGGCACAGGTCTCTCTATAAAATTATGTTGGTGTTTGGTCTGCGCGGTCAAAACCAAAATTTCTACAAACAATGTGATTGCTATAGAATCATAGACGTCAATTCATAGTCTCTTGTGCTCTCTTCCAAAAGTTCATGCTAGTCAATGCCTGAATCTATGCTTGTGAATTTATAGTAATCACTTTCTGGGAGGCTTATTTCTATAAATCTGCAACACGCCCTCTTGATTTCATAGTGAAAATACACACCAGGATGCTTTTTTCGTCAATCAGCCGTGCCCTATGACTGAAAGGCTACAAGTCCGACCATATTTTTGTTTGCCAACATCACGTCAGCAAAAGATTTCTCCAAGCTCATATGGCCTCCTTCCACGCGCCACATCATGTCTCAGTGAGCAGAGAAACGAAAAAAAATTGAACTGCTCGACAAACGGGTCACTGGGCGGGTTGGGGTGGGGTGATTTGGATCAGGGCCTGCGGCTAACGACCACCTCCCTTTCGTCAGCAAGTGGGCTCTACTCTCTCCAATGGCAAGAATTTGAACTTGGCGCCTTTTTAGAAGTGGGGATGAGTAAGATTGCGCGATGATTTGACGTGAGCTTTCTACTTAGTTATATACTTGCTTAATTCCCGGACAGTTGGCCAGCCTACGTGACGTTGGGGAAGCCAGTATGTGAACATGACATTGGCTTGAATGGGTTGCATTGCGAGTTGCAGGGCTGGATGCTGAAGCTCTCAAAGGATGTCGCCATGGGAAGCCCTTGGACAAAGACTGTGGAAGTTCTGCGGGGGAAATGTCCGGGAACGAGGTTCATTGCGGACATCAGAAGCTTTGATGAAAAGGAATTGGAGGAAGCCTTGCTTGTAGGATTGTCCCCAGATGCTACCGGCGTCATATGTGGCGGAGGCAGTGCCAGGGCCTGAGTCGGTTGTTGAAGTTGAGCGCCCGGGCGCAGCCAGCTTTTCTTTGAGGCCGTCCGCGTCTTCAAGTTGGTCGAAAAGGGAGCAGCAGAGAGGAAGTTGTAGACATTGAAGCTGCTTGGGAACGTGGTCGTGGACCTGGAGGATATTGAGGAGATGTCAAACGCCTTAAAGACGAGGACAGCGATGGTGGAGAGTGGTTGCTTGAGTCGAGTGAAGAGACTCCGACTGTATAGGCTGTCAAGGCCCTTAAATATGTTCAATGGAAGTCCCATGAGCTGTTTGACAAGTTGGAGATCAAAGGAGTGGAGGCAGAGCCCGTAATGTGAGTGGCCAGGAGAAGCGACAGATGACCTGGCAATCAAGAGGTCAAGGCCGCAACCTTGAAGGCCAAGAACTTTTGGAAAATATGACAATATATAGATATCATCCTTACAACTATGCCCAGAAGTACAGGCCTTTGAGGCTATGTTGAAGAATTGCGATGTGCCATTGGCAACTCGTTCCAGGTGAATAGTGGATCAGGAGCAATGGAGCTCAAGAAAATTCGAGGGCCGGCTATAAACTCGCAGAGTGATCATATAAGCCCAAGCAGAGGTTTCTGCAGGTGAAGATTGAAGAGGAGCAAGAACTGGAAGAAGTGGACGCTGAAGAGCGTGCCCCAAAGTCCAGTAGTGAACGAAAGGATGACAAAGAGAGCTCAGTGGAGATGTTGGCTGGTGAAGAGCTGCTCAAAGCATTGGGCGACAACATGCCATTCTACGTGACGGAGGAGCAGCTCATGGAAGAGGAAAAGAAGCTGAGCGCTCATCTAGCGTCAGCTTTCGTGAAACGGCAAAAGTTCAGAGGGTCTGACGTCAGACTCGACTTGGGAAGCCTGTACAGTTTCCCCAGAGGGGGCGGTAGCACGTCGACGCGGTTCACCATGCCACCATGGGCTGGACTTGGCAATCCATGTAGCACCTGTTCCAGTGTTATCGGGTATGGTTTGTTTCGCTATATACAAAATGCGGAGTCTCCTAATCAGGCTCACTCACCCTGCGCGTGCCTTTTGGGCCTTTCTCATCCGCGCTTGTCGGCTCTCGCTCCCGCCCCCGCTTCATGGCTTTCCGTCATCGACTCCAGCTGAAGAACCTGTACTGTTGAATCCCCTCCTTCGAAGTAGAGGCTAAGAAACCCAAAAACATTAAAAGAAAAGTATTTAAAAAATACAACCCTGAAATGCAACCTTTTTGCATGGTTCTACGTCCTAACTGGCCCTGGTTCCCAAATATCATACTCAAATGAGGGCCACAACGCAAATAGCCCCCACCAAGCCAATTGAATTTTGAGTCGCGTTGTTTTTTGAATGCGTTGTCAAGAAGCATTTGCGTGAATTTGCTCTCTTTTTGCGTTGTGGCAAAATAGAAACAAAGGCAGTCGGGCCGCAAAATCAGCAAACACCCTCGTCGACGCGTCAGAAAAACGAAAAACATTACAAAATTTGGTTTCGCAACCCGTTTCGGCAAATTTTATATTGTTTGGTTTTTTTTGCAGGTCGCATCTTTTTGTATGTTTGAGTGTTTTGTTCCCGGGTCGTACTTTTTTGTATTTTCTTCGCGGGTCGTACTTTTGTATTTGTCCAATTGTTTGTATTTTATATTTTGTATTTCTGTATTTATTTTGTATTTTGTATTTTTCGTACTTTTTGTATTTTTGTATTTTTGACAGATACAAAAATATGTCGTATTTTGTATTTTTTAAAACACAATTTTGTTTTCGTATCTATTCGTTTTTTTGGAAAATACCCCCCCAAAAAAACGTCGTATTTTCCGTATCTTCAAAAAATGCAAATTTTCAGCCTCGAACTGCGAACCGGCAAAAACCACGAGAACCAGCGAAACGTGGTCAGGCTACCCGACAACCCCGAGAGGCTGCTCCAAAATACAAGGGGGCCAGCTTCCCATTCCACCCATATCAATGCGTATCAATTGGCAATTTACGTGAATATTGCTGGCAGTTTTGCATTTTTGTTAGGGTTGTATTTCTGAAAAATACAAAAATCAAAAGTGTACGTTTAAAAATACAACTGGTGAATTTGTATTTTCCAGTCTTATGTTTGTATTTATTATGTTTATATAATTCTTTTGTGGCTTGTAGGCTGTACCTGGATCCGGGGAACCAACTGTACTGACTGAGCTGAATCATTGAGGAAGAAGCAAGAGATCTCGCTGCGGTCCCTTGCTCTCCTGTGAGAGCTGAATGTCCCAA